AATATCGTGCATCCCTAATATAAATAATATAAGATATATGATAATATCTATATATAAATATATAACAGCTAAAAAGATCTGTCGTCATATTACTTAAACCTCGCTAATCAGGGGCGGAGCAAGAGGGGGGGGCAGGGGTGGCCATGGCCACCCTTAGCCAATCATTGGCCACACCTACCATTTTTTTTTACCCTCTAATACAGACAGTGGCAGCAGTAATACTATCAAGAAGAATGTTTAAACTTATTAAACATTTAAAATTTTAATATATTAATAGTAACTTGACAACTAAAACGCTGTGGTTTATTATGCACATCAAAATACTAACATTAAAGTTGATATATAAAGAATTCATGTTCTTTTAACCTCTTAATATCCCACCTAATTTTGGGTAATCCTCGCCTATTTTGCATTCCCAAATGGAAAAGCAAATAACATGTGCAATACATTATTTGAAAGCTAACACCCTCTAGTTTCTTAATATATAAATTGAAATTGGGTGACTAGAACGCAGACCAACGTGCATTAGTTCAAACATGGCTCAGAGTTGTTGTTTTTTTTATTCTCGGAAATGATAGGTCTTTTTTGAACAGCAGTAATAAAGACATTCTTGAGAAAAAGCAGGTTTTATTGTATTATATTTGCTCTACATCATATCAACCACAAATGCAGAAAATTTTAGACCTCTAGCTATAATAGTTCCAGAGTTGTGGGGTTTGGAACTTTTTGTGTCAGCTTGGAGCTGCGCGCAATGGCTCCACCTGCTGGTAAAAATATTACCGATGGAATTTAATGCATTCTGAATTATTACCCTCACTTGAGGTCTTAAGGTTTTAAAGGGGAATGCCGTTTTTTTTTTTACATTGGGCCCTTGATTTTACGTTATTACATCACGTTCCACTCACCCATATGAGTCTTGTGTCATTTGGAGCTGTTCTGAAGATATTCCGTTAGGTTATATCCAAGTAACGTCTTCCTATGGGCAACGACTTTAAGGCACAAACTAAACTGTTCATAATTTATTCTTTATGGTACGCCAGCATTCATAACATCACTGTCCCCCAGACATCCGCGGTTATATATTTTTTATATTTATATCTTTTAGAAATGAAGCGGCGCGTGTATGACGTCATCCGCGCGTAAATAAAATAATGTAATTGAAAATATTATTAATGGTCATAAACATTTTTTTACACTGTTTACTTCCGTGTAACAACTATAACTGCTGTCTGAGTGTCTGAAGTACACTTGACACCATTCAGTCTGACTTACCTTATCTGACACTAGTCATAAATGTTGATAAAAAACAATGTTGTATAATACAACATTGGTTTTTATCAACATTTATGACTAGTGTAATACAACTAGTGTAATACAACTTGTATTACTTTTCTAAAAAATATAATAAATAAAGCTGCACAGCCTCTATCCCCCATTGAAACAGATAAACCAACACTGTATGTTGAGGCATAGAATTACTCTAGGGTAGAAATTGAGAATAAGGTTTTATTAGTCACATGTTGAAAAGGTTGTAAATAAAAAACAAAAAAGGGATTTTCTTGGAAACAGATTCATAAAAGGTCATAGATCTTTTATCACTGTAGTTTAGTTGTGTTGAACTGGCCATCATTTTCTGTATATTGAAGCATTGCTACATCTTTATCTATGAGGCACTCATTGAATTGCTCCTGCCCTACTTATCACCCTTACTCTAAATTTAACAACCCAGCTCCAGACCTTTTTCTCAAAACCTTTTCTTTAGATTTTCATTACTGCGATCAGAAAAAGGAATTTTCTTGCGTTTTGTATCTTAATTCCTCTTGGAGAATTGAGATTTATTAAAAAAAGAGAAATCTTAATGACAAATTTCATAATTTTATTATACATTTTATTTTGTTTATAACAATTTTTTTCTCGATGTTTATAAATGACATCTTGGATCTCAGTTAGATGATCAGTGTCATTTCATTTCAATTTAAAATAGTATATAATTTTATAACAAAATATATCAGTGACAATAACAAACTTTTTAAATTTCAATTAGGAAAATATACATTTATCAACACGTCAGCTTAAAGCATCAATGTAGCACAACAGCTAATTTCTATCATCTGTCCTAAGGCAAGTTAAAAGGGTGAACATTAAACAAGAGTCTATGAGAGAGAAAAGAGTGGACACAAACAGATAAATGCCAATAACATGGAATCAAATAAAATTAGGGTAACAGGCCCAAGGAGACAGATCAATTCACCTGTGAAAAAATGTCTGCTTAGTTTTCAATCAATATTGATTTTAAAACATATGCAGGTTGCACAGCCCCTAACATGAGCTGGCAGTGTGTCCCATGTCTGTGCTTCTCTGATGGATGCAACCATTTGGCCAAATTTGGTCCTACGCCGCTGAACATTACAGTCTCCTCTGGTTATAGCCCTGATGTTTATTCTAGCAATGTTTTTTTGCTTATAAAATCTGTTACAGGAGGAGGAGCAAGTCCATTTAAACCTTTAAAAACAAGACATGCATCCAAAAATATCTCGTGACCTTCAAAGTCTAAATTTTACAATGATGATAACATGAAAGCTTTTTATCAGGAACTTTTCGAGTTTTCTTGAAGATAGACTGTAGGGGTTTCAGAAATGCCTCTGAAATGTGACACCATGAGGTATGACAGTGGTTTAAATGGCTAAAAATTATGTTTTTGTTGATTAAAAATTTAGAGATGGTCTTATATGTTTAAAGTTTGAAAGATTAAACCTTATTATATTTCAGACTGTCTTTACATGCTGTATAAAATTTAAATTTGAGTCAAAGACCACTCCAAGCCCAAACACATCCAATCTCTCTCCATTGACATATATGATATTTCATCACCCTCTACTGGCTGTTAGGAGAAAAACATAGAGTGTTTTTTCCAATGTTAAGATGTAATAATGATTGTTGAACTTTATTGATCTCACATTTTAGAAATTTAGCTCTGCTTTTAACCCATCCCCTTGAGGAGCAGTGGGCTGCCATTGTGTGGCGCCCAGGGAGCAATTAGGGGTTAAGGGTCTTGCTCAGGAACCCAGAGTGCAGGCAGTGGGATTCGGATCGGGGACTCCCCCCTCCAGGACTCCTGCATGTTGAGACACTGATAGCATAGCGCTGCAGAGAACTGCACCAGCTTCACTTTTATTTTTTTGCATGAACATATAGTACAGCATCATCAGCATATAAAGGCATTTTTATAGTACTTTCTTAACCCACTTGTGCTTTGAAAAACTTATTTCCAAAGTAAAGAAAGTAAAACTGATTCTTGAAGTGACTTTTAAGGCTTTGATATTACAACATGTATCCTCCAAATGAACAAACACTCAACAGTTAAAGTTTTTCTTCCTTTAATACAATCTCTTCCTTCCATTCCAGATCATTTTTACATTGAAATTTACATAACATCATGATAAACAGTAAGAACACTTTCATTTGCCTTCATTAAAAGCAACTTGTCATGATAATAAGACCTCGCACTTAAAACATTCAGCAGTATTTCCACACAGGCAGAACTAGACCACCAATTAGATGGTGAAGAATACGCTCTTTAAAAGCTAAAAATTTGGTCTTTAAGAAATAAACCTCTACATATAACATCTAAAAGTTTCAGAAACTCATCAGGATTAGAGTTTGGTATCTATTTTTGACTTATAGATGTTTTCTTTTCTACGAAAGCACAGATATCTGATATTTGGCACATTAAATCTCCAATTTCCTCCCTTTTAATAAATGTATACACAGACAGAAGTAAGCCAAACCCAAAACTCTGACAGCTCAAACAGGTAAGTCAGTGTTTACAATACACATGAGATGAGATTTGGTGATGGAGACAGAACATTGTGATGACAGGAGACAAAGTTTATAAAATCAGATTAGTTTGTCAGAGTAAAAAACTCAAACGCCATTTTTTTTTGTTTAGTATTTAACATAAAGAAAAACATTTCATATTTTTGATTACTTCAAAAAATTTTCTAGTTTTATTTAGAAAATGATTATTCTAGGTGAGACTTCCTGTTGTATTTTTATTCTTTGCAGCTTCTTTTATCTTTTGAATGATACGATAAGCTTCTTTCCTAAAGCTCTCACATCATTAACATCCCACTCTGTACACGTGCTGTTTGTGCATCATTTTAAAAATATAGAAAATATTAAAAGAGAAAACTTACAGGTTAAAAACACATCTTACAATGCCTCTTCAAGTTATTTACACATCCCGAGTATTTAATCAGCA